CGGTGGCCACGCAGGTGAAGCTCACCGTCTGCCCCGGCACGGCCCGCACCGACTCCTGCGGCGGCGTCACCACCTGCGGAGGCACTACAAGGGGGACGGGAATCAGCCCCAGCAGAGGGATCCGCGTCAGCCCCAGCACCGCGCCTCGCTGCAGTGCCCCGCGTCCCCAGGTGCCACTTACTGCAGCCGACCTCGTCGGAGCGATCGGGGCAGTCGGGCTCCTCGTCGCAATGGTAGCTGGCGGGGATGCAGGCACCGCTGACCACGCAGCTGAACTGATCGGGGCGGCAGGGCATGCCGGGCACCTTGGTGGCTGTGGGGACATTGGCCGTCAGGCAGTGCTGTGCCGCGCGCCCCCGCGCCCCGTGCCACACTCACGGCAGCCGGTCTCATCCGAGCCGTCCCCGCAGTCGTTGTCCCCATCGCAGCGCCACAGCTTCAGGGCGCAGTGCCCATTGCGGCACTTGAACTCGTTGGGCTCACAGGGCGACGGGGTGCCTGAGGTGGGGGGAAGGGGGGCTCAGCGCCCGCAGGGCCGCCACCGCCATCCCCGCTCCCCGGCCACTCACCGCAGCCCTCCTCATCGCTGCCATCGGCGCAGTCGCGCTCTCCGTCGCACAGGTAATCGCGGGGCACGCAGCGCCCGTCGGCACAGGGGGTCTCGGCGGGGCGGCAGCCGTGGGGCGGTGGTGGGGGGCGGCGGGTGATGGGGGAGGTGGTGAGTGCCGGGCGGGTGGTGACGGCGGGGCGCGCCGTGCTGATAAACACGGTGCTGGGGGGCGGCTCGGCACAGCCCTCCTCATCCGACGCGTCGTGGCAGTCGGGCCGGCGGTCACAGCGGTACTCTTGGGCGATGCATTCACCGCTGCCGCAGGAGAACTCCAGGGGGGTGCAGGGGCGCAGGTGGGGGGTCACTGCAGGGGGAGAGCAGAGGTCAGGACAGGGGGTCCCCAAAGTCGGGTGATGCGTAGGGCATCGGTGACAAAGAGGGGCTCAAGGCGCTCTGGCACACCGCACTCTGCGCTGAGGGTCCCCAGGTTACGAGGTTACGGGGGTCCCCAGCCCATCCCCTCACTCACCGGCCCCCAGGCGCCGGAACTGGAAGCCGACGGGTGAGGTGACGTAGGAGGCGATGGAGCCAGCGGTCACCACGCTGTGCAGCACGGCTCCAATCTGCGCCTCGTCCCCGTTGCCCTCGGAGCCCACATCCAGCTCCACAAACACGCTGCCCTCCAGCTCCCTGCGGGCACAGAGTCAGCACCGCCCCGGGGCCCCCGCACACCCCCCAACCAAGTGCCTCATGTCCCCAGTATCCCCATATCCCCCAACATCCCACAGCCCCAAAACCTCCCCTGCGCCCTGAAACTTTGCATCCTTCCTGAACCACCTTGTACCCCCAAATCACCCCACCCCCCACACCTTCCTGCCCCCTGAAACACCTCAAACGCCTGACCACAGCATACCAACACAACACCCCTGCATCCCAAAACTCCCCATCCTTCCCCAAACACTCCTGCACCCAAACCCCCCCCACCATCCCCGATTTTCCCATCTCTCCAAATATCCCTGCACCCAGACTCCCCATCACGCCGTCCTTCTCTGCACCCCAAACCCCATCCCTCCTCCACTTCCCCAGCAACCCAAACCTCCCCATTCATCCCCAAACATCCCCTGCACTTCCCAAGCATCCCACTCCCCAGACTGCCTTGCACCCATAAATATCCCCCAAACCTTCCCACTCCCCAGGCCCCCCCTATGACCCACTCACTTGATGAACACCACGCTGACCATCTGCTCCCCAGGGATCTTGTAATACTCTGACTCCAGCTGATTTGGGAAGAGATACGGGGTCACGGCGTGCCCACCTGGTGCCCCCCAACCCCACAGCCCCCCAACCCCTCACCGTGTCCACCACAGCCTGGGACACCTCATGGAACTCCTCTGAGGTGGGGTCCTCCAGACGGGGGCTGAAGTCGATGCTGTGGGTGAAGTTCACCAGTGCCCGGAAATAAACTGCGGGGGGAGGGCAGAAAGGGGGGTCGGCACCCCAAAAACACCACCTTTTGGCACCCCCAGCACCAGCCCCCCCGCTGCCATGGGAAAGAGTGAGAGTCCTCAGAGAGCCACTTACTGATCGGGGGGTCATCCTCGGGCTCGGCCACCACCATGCCCGCCGGGGGGGGCACGGCCGCTGCCGCCGAGGGGAGAAGGAAGAGGAGGAGAGGAAGGAAAGCAGAGAGGACGGAGAACAGACAGAGCGTGAGCGCAGAGCAGTGTGGCGGTGTCACCTGGCGGCGTCACCCGGCAGCATCCCCTTACCGGTGGTTGCCAACGGCACGCCGGGCACCGGGGGCCCCCCAGCCACCAGCGCCACATCGCCACTGCCGAGCTCCCCGCTGCCATCTGCAAAAAGGAACACGGTGAGCAGTCGGAGGACACGCATCCCCCTCCTCAGATGCCACCCGGGGCTGCATTACCTGCAGACGCTTCATCCGCCAGCAGGTCCTCATCATCAGAGAGCTGTGCGTAGTAGCGCCGGCGCCACGTGCTGCCCACATGGTCGGCCACCGTGTCCTCGGGGAAGGAGCTCTCGGCTGGGACCCCGGCAGCTTGGCACACCTGGGGGGGTCACGGCCGTCACTGCAGGGCCACATCGCCAGGCTCCCCCCGCTGCTGGCCGGGCCGCATAGCTGTGTGCTGCGGTCACGGCGGGTGACGGAGGGGGGCTGTGTGTGTGTGCAGGGTGGGGGATGAGCTCATCGCCCCCCCCGGCTCTGCTCGCCGCCCACCACCGCATTCCTGCACCCGGCACCGCACAGCACACCGTGTGTGTGTGTGTGTGTGTGTGTGTGTGTGCACTGCAGCGTGCCATCACGTTGCACCAGCAGCAGCACCCAGCGCGGCGCCGGGGGGCAGCGAGGGCCGGACCCCCCCGCAGGCTGGCCGGGAGGAATCCGTCGGGGCAGCACTTTGCTGTGCAAACAAGAGCGGGTGGATTAAGCGGGCACTCTGCACGGGGCCCGGGTGGGGTGGGGGCAGATTTACCCAAACAATGGGTGCAAATGGCCCCCCCACTCCTCTTGCACGGCACAGACAGTGGCGCCCCAAAATAACCCGGCAGTCGGGTGGGGGGGGGATGCTGCTGGGTGGGGAGGGCTGCAGCCGGGGAAACTGAGGCACGATGCCATGCTGTGCGTGCGCTGAGCTGCGGGTGCTCTGCAGCCGCTCCCCGTGCACCGACTCGGGACTCTGCTCTCATTGCTGTGCACAGAACTGCAGCCGCTCTGCCCCCACGGGTGGGAGCTGCTCCCCGCCCCCCCCCCCGCTCCACCCCAGCTGTCCGGCGGCGGGTCCAGACGCCAGCAGGGCGCGGGGAGGGGGGGGGGGGGGGGCCGGTGTCCCCTCTCGGGTTTCCGGAAGCGGGTCGGGCTCACGCCCGGCCGGACACCGCCGCTCACATTTTCCATCTGCCGTCCCACAAGCCTGCCCGGAGCCGCGGCCGGGCCTGGGGGAGCGGGAGAGGAGGAAGAGGAGGAGGAGGAAGCACCACCCCGCTGTCACGTCCGCCGGCGCCACGTGCGGCTCCGCTCGACGCCCCGAAGCGGGGAGGGCCCCCCCCCCCACCGCCCCCAGCCGGGCTCTCCACTCCCGGCGAGGAAGAGGAGGAAGCGGGGGGTGACGCAGCACAGGAAGGCCGGGCCCGGAGGGGCCGGGAATAATAACCGGGGGGGGGTTATTAATAGCCGCCCCCCCGCCCCATTGTTTCCCCAAGGCCGAGAGGTGGTGTTCCCCCCCCGCTCCCCCGTTCCACTTCCTCCCGAGGACCGGGGGGGGGGGGGGGGGGGGGAACACAGCTGGACGGGACCCCCCTGGGGGGCAAACAGCTGCGTGACCCCCCCTTGCCCCCCCCCTGCGATATGGGGGCGAAACAGCTGCGGGTGGGAGCGCTCGGCCGGGGACACGGGGGGGTAACGGAGTGGGGGGGGGGGGTAAGGGGGGGGCGCATTCCTCCCCGCTCGGCATTGCCTAATTTATCCCGATTCGGGCCCCCCCGCCCCGCGCGGCCCGTCCGGGCCTTCTTTGGCCATATGAACGGACCCCCCCGTGTGCCCCCCCCATCCCCACGGGGGGGGGCCGTGCCAGCATGGCCCCGAGCAGAAAGGAGCTCTGTTCTCCGCCCCGGGCACAGTCCCAGCCCCACAGCTCGCCCCCAACACGCAGAGACACGGGGGGGGACCAAAGCGCCTTCACGCCCCCCCCACCCGACGGGACCCCCCCACAGCGCCCCCAGGGCGTATTTCGGGAGCGCTATTTTTGCATTCCTCCGTCACCCGGTAAATATAGAGCGGGTGCGACTTAAGGGAGGGGGCAGCGCCCCAAAAGTACCGAGACCCCCCCCCCCCCCCGCGGGGTCACATGGGGACGACGCGAGACCCCCATTCCTAAACGGGACGGGACCCCGCGGGGACCCCACCTCCTCCCCGGGACCGCGCCGCTCCCGGCCCACGCGGGACTCCATCCCCCCACAACCTCAACCCGGATTCCAACCGCTGGACGGGACGCCGTTCGGTGCCCTTCCCCCTCCCGGTGCCGCCCCCAGACTCACTCCGAGCGCCGCGAGCAGCAGCAGCGCCGCGGGCACCGGCCGCCCCATCGCCCCGCTCGCTCCGGCCCCGCTCCGCGCCCCGGCCCCGCTCCGCCCCGCCGCGCTGTGCCTCTGGGCGGGGCCGCCGGGAAACGCGCCCACGGGGGAACGGGGAGCGGGATGGGGGCGTGGGGTCAGAGAGCCGGGGCCGCGTGGGGACACCCGGCCGTACGGACACGGGGCTGCGCGGGGCACCGCGGGGGCATTCGGGGGCGTCGGGAGCGCGGTGTGGGGTGTTGGGGAGTGTGGGGGGGCCGGGGGGGCTCGGGAGCTGTGCGGGTACGGGGAGCGTAGGGGCTGTGGGTGTGCGGGGGACGCGGGGGGCTGTGCGGGCACTGCGGGCTGCGGACGGGCACGCGGGGGAGATGGGACTGGGGGGTGCAGCCGCAGGCTGTGGCGGCATCCGCACCCGCCCGGCAGGGCACCGGAGGCCGCGTGCCCCCCCCAAGGCTGGGTGTTAATGGTTAACCCCGGCCCCACAGCTGCTTGGCTCCCATGGGCAGCACCCCGCTGTGCCCCCCGCGGGGCGCTGGGTCACCACCCCATCTCCCAGCACTGTGCACATTGGGAGGGCTCGCAGCCCCGACCCCATAGGGCCGCCCCACGCCGTGCAGAGCCCAGCTGGGCACCAGCTGCCCGCTCCCAGGGTTGGCCTTGGGCCGGGGAGGGGCTCCGATAAAGGGGGAATTTAAGGCTGGCGGACGCCCCGTGCCACCTGGCCGAGCCTTTGAGCACAATGCTTGCGCTCCTCATCCCCCTGCTGCTGCTCGCTGGCGGTAAGCTGTCCCCAAACCTGCTGTTGTCCCCACTTTGGGGGGTCTGGGTGACCCCCTGGGTGACGGTCACCCCGTTGTGCAGGCTGCCACTCTGCCGTGCTGCCTGGTGGATCACGGGTTGTGAATGGGCAGGATGCGGTACCGTACAGCTGGCCATGGCAGGTGAGCAACATGGGTTGGTTTGGGTTGGAGTTGAGGTTTTGGGGGTTAGGGCTAAGGTTGGAGTTAGGGTTGAGGCTGAGGTTGGGGTTAAGTTTGGGACTGGGGGTTATGGTTAAGGTTAGGGTTGGGGTTAGGGTTGGGATTATAGTTGGAGTTAGGGTTGGGGTTGGGGTTGAGGTTGAGGTGAGCATCAGGACTGAGGTTAGAGTTGAGGTTGGGCTTATGATGAAACTAAGGTTGAGGTTGCAGTTATGATGAGGACCAGGGTTAGAATTAGGCTTACGGCTACGATTGATTGAGGTTGTCATTACGTTTATAGTTATGCTTAGGGCTAGGGCTGTCGTTGGGGTTAGGCTTGTTTGGTGAACAGAGGTGGGAACACTGCGGAGGGTGACAGCACCCTGCGGCCCTGCAGATCTCACTGCAGTACGAGCGTGACGGCACCTTCCGGCACACCTGCGGGGGAACCCTCATCGCGCCCGGCTGGGTGATGACGGCCGCACACTGCATCTCGTGAGCCGTGCGCCTGCGGGCACAGGGATGGGGTGCGGGCATGGGGTGACGTGGCGTTGCTTGGAGGGATGCACGGCGCAGCGTTGAGGTGGCAAGGGTGCAGCGGGGCAAGGATGGGGTGGGAGGGATGAGCGGGACGGGGAGCCCCAAGCCCTGGGGTCAGCGGGCACGGTGTCCTTGGGCAGCTCCACGCTCACCTACGAGGTGGTGCTGGGTGAGTACGACATGAGCTCCGCCGAAGGCCCCGAGCAGCGCATCCCCGTGGCGGCCGATGACATCTTCGTGCACCCCAAGTGGAACAGCTTCTGCTTGGCCTGCGGGTGAGCGGGGCGCGGCGGCGCGGGGATGCTGTCCCCACCTGGGGACCTCTCCCCGGTGACACGTGTCCCCGCTGATGCCTCGCCCCGGTGTCCCCGTGTGCAGCAATGACATCGCCCTGCTGAAGCTGCAGCACAGTGCTGTGCTGAACGATTACGTGCAGACGGGGCAGCTGCCGCCCGCGGACACCGTGCTGCCCAACGGCTACCCGTGCTACCTGAGCGGCTGGGGGAGGCTGAGCAGTGAGTGCTGGGATGGAGGGGGGGGCAGGGGGAAGGAAGGATGAGGGGTGGAGGGAAGGGTGGGAGGCCGGTTGGGCCAGTGGTGGATGGATGTGGGTGGTGGGTGGATGGATGGATGGATGGATGGACAGATGGTTGGATGGATGGTTGGATGGATATGAAACGGATGTGGGATGAACGACAGATGGGTAGATGGACGGATGGTAGATGGATGGATGTGGGGTGGATGTGAGGTGGAGGGATAGCCAACTGTAGGATAGATGGATGGATTATGGATGGATGACTGTTGGATGGATGGGTGAATGAATGGATGGCTGTAGGGTGGAGGTAGGATGGTTGGAAAAATGGGTGTTGGATGGGACAAATAGGTGGATGGATGGTTGGTTTATGGATGGATGAGGGTTATAGGGGGGGATGGAGGGATGAATGGATGGATGGATGGAGGGATGGATGGAGGGACGGATGGATTAGGTAGATGGTATCTCTATGGTAAGGATGATGGATCACTGGAACAGATTGTCCAGAGAGGTTATGGAGTCTCCTATGGAGACATTCAAGATCTGTCTGAATGCCAATCTGCGTGACCTATTGTAGGGAACCTGCTTTATGAGGAGGGTTGGACTTGATCTCTTGAGGTGCCTTCCAGCCCGTGTGATTCTGTGACTCTGTGGGATGGAGTAATGGACATGGGATGCTTGTGGGATGGATGGATGGATGGATGGATGGATGGATGGATGGATGGATGGATGGATGGATGGCATGGAATGGATGTGGAATAGATGTGGGATGCCTGTGGGATGGCTGAGGCTGGCGTGGAGGATGTTGGGCACAGCATTGTCCACCTGGGTCCCTAACACCACCCCTATTGCCAGCGGGGGGACCACTGCCAGACAAACTTCAGGATGCTCTGATGCCTGTGGTGGACCACGAGCATTGCACGCAGTCCGACTGGTGGGGCAGCCTTACCATCCGCACCACGATGGTCTGTGCTGGCGGCGCCGAGCAGGCCGGCTGCAACGTGAGTGCTGTGCTGCACTGCGCCGCGAGGAGGGGTTGGAGCACCCTAAACCATCCTGACCCCCATCCCGTCCCCAGGGCGACTCGGGCGGCCCCCTGAACTGCCAGGCTGAGGATGGGCACTGGGAGGTGCACGGCATCGCCAGCTTTGTGTCTTCACTGGGCTGCGACACTCCAAAGAAGCCCACTGTCTTCACCCGCGTCTCTGCCTTTGAGGACTGGATTGCTGAGGTGGGCGCTGGGCGCTGGGATGGTGGGGTGCAGAATGCCCAGGGTGTGGGGTGACGGGCTGCCAGGGGCCGGGACACCGGGGTGCTGCAGTGCTGGGGTGCTGAGGTGTTGGTGTGCTGGAGAATTAGGAAGCTGGGAACTGAGGTGTTGGGAAACTGGAGTGTTGGGGTGTTGGGGCACTGGGATGCTGGAATGCTGGGGTATTGGGATGTTGGGAAATTGTAGTGTTAGGATATTGGGGTGCTGAGATGTTGAAATGCTGGGCTGCTGGGACGCTGGTATGTCAGAGTACCAGAGTGTCGAGCTGTCAGGGTGTTGGAGTTCCAGCGTGCCGGGACACTGGGGTGTCAGAAGTGCCCCGGTATTGGGCTCAGGGATGCTGGGACATTGGGGTACGGGGGTGCTGGGGTGCCATGATGCTCTGATATTTATGGGTGCTGAGTGCCGAGCTCCCCCTGAACCACTTCTTTCTCCCAGACCATAGCAAACAACAGCTGAGCAGAGCAGCAGCGACCTCCGTGCTTCACAGCGCGCAAATAAACCCCCAGAGCTGACCCCGTGCGTCCCGTGTGCCGGGGGGTGGAGGGGGGAGGCGGGGACGCGCGCACCTGGTGAGAGTGGCTGCATTGCCAGCAGATGGCACTGGCAGAGCGGGCACGGCAGCACGGCAGAGTTGGGCACACGGGGATGCCGGGCACTGTGGGAAGGATCCCCTCACGGCGCCGCGATGTCGTAGGAATGGGGACATCCAGATATCAGAGGGATGGACACGGGGCGCCCTGGTGCCACAGGAATTGGTCTCCGACCTCCGCCCAAAGGCACCTGAGGCCGTGGGGGTGGTTTTCCCACGAGGTGCCACGGGGACGGGCGCCGACAGCTGGGCCCTGAGGAAGAAGCGCCCCGAGGTGCCCCGATGCCGCGGGGTTCCCTCCGGGCGCCCTGTTCCGGTCACACGGCCGTGGCGGCAGCTCCGTGCCCAGCTCTCGCCCGCCGCCTCCTGCCCTCCCGGCCCGGCCGTCTCCTCGCAACCACTGTCCGCGGCGCGTGACCGGGAACAAAGGGCCCTTTGATGGCGCCCGGCACGCATGGGGCCCCCGCTCCCCCCATCCCATCCCATCCCTTTGGGAGCCCCACATCCCTGCGGGGACGGGGCCACCCTGAACTGGATGGAAAATCCCCATCACGTCCCTCTGCAGGCGCAGGGCTGTAGGGTTTTATGGGCCCCTGTGACCATGAGGGGGACCTTTGCTCCCTGGGGGGGCCCTTTGCTCTGGCTGCTGAGGCCAGCTCAGCTCGTGACACCCTTGTGCAAGCGGTGCTGCCTGCACGAGGCTGGGACAGGTGGGTGGGCCAGGCAGGGGCAGCTGGCATGGGTGCTATGAGCCCCGGCATGGGCACCGCACGGCTGATGGGAGTGCTGCAAGAGTGGCAAGGGTGCTGCAAGGCTGCTACGGGTGGTGCAAGGTTCTACAAGGCTGGCACGGGTGGTGCGAGGCAGTATGGGTGCTCTGAGCCTGGCACGGGTGGTGCAAACTTGGCATGGGTGCTGAGAGCCTGGCAAGGGCAGCGTGGGGCTGGCACACGCACCACGAACCTGGCTTGGGAACTTTGATCCTGGCACAGGCGCTGCGGGGCCTGGCACGGCTCCTGCAAGGCTGGCATGGACACCGTGAGCCTGGCATGGGCACGCGGCCCTGCAGCCCCAGGCAGCTCCTCCCTCACCGTGGTGCCAACCGCCTCCAAAACCCCCGTGTGTCCTCTGGCCGGACCCACCCCCACGGGTGACTCAGCCCGTTCCCAGCAAAGCCCGTCCCTATATAACACGGTGTCACCGTCACACACACAGCGCCCGCCCGGCCGCTGCCTCAGTTTCCCCACGCTGCAGCCATGTGGATGGTGTCGCCGCCGGTCGGTAAGTCCCGCTTCGATGCCCCGACGTCCCCTGGCCCAGCGCAAGGCTTCCCGTCAGAAAACGGCCCGTTCGGTGTGTTTGGGTTTCCTGGTGGATGTTGGCTGGGTGAGGTTTGCAGACGTGGGGTGGTTCGGGGTGAAGGTGCGGAGCAGCTCTGCGTGGCTGGGTGCAGCGCGGCGCTGTGAACCGGGGATGGAGAGAAGTGAGAGCTGAGCGCGCTCCGCCTGCGTGCTAACCTGCCCCGGAGCTGCCTGTTCTGAGCAGGTGCCCCTAACACACACGGGGTCGATGCGGAAAGAGCCAAATCCGTGTATTTTTCCCCCAGAAACAGTAATAAAAAGCACTGCCAGCAGTGGGGCTGAACCCCATTCTTTCTCCCCGTATCTCCGTGCCGTTGGGGCTGGGAATGCCAGGACCGGGCACGGCGCTGCGCGGCATTGTGATGCTGCAGAACACAGTGCTGCCTGCCAGGCGCTGCTTTGCTTCGGACCCGCGGCCACTTCGGTCAGACCCCAAAGTGCTGCCCTTTGCCCATTTTTCCCCTCCCCACAGCACGGGGAGAGCCCAGACACAAAGAGCGCTCGGCCTTGAGGAGGGCACAGTGTGAGACATGGGCCGAGTGCCCCCAGAATGCCGTTTCCTGCAGAAAAACGGGGCTGGAGGTGAAAACCTCCCCACGCTCACCTCCTCAGGGTGTTTTTCCATGCACACCTGCCTGGCCCCAAACCGCAGCGGCGTGGCCTGGGGTGGGGTGGCCAAAGGTCAGCGGCAGCAGCACCCCCACCCTGCTCAGAAAAGAGGAATATTTGGAATATTTCCTTCCTGCAGGAGGGAGCGCGGCGGGGGGGAGCGGTTGTGGCTCTTGTTGTGCTCTGACGTGCTGTTTTCTTTCAGATGAAGGATCTCACCAGCTTGCCTGGCTTTGGGACCACGGCAAAGGCAGGGTGCAAAACACACTAGTAGGACATGACCCTTAACACTTTCTCTAAAGCGTAGCCCTATAGGTATATAAGATCAATAGAGCTTAACACTGGGGTTGGCTTTTATTCTGAGCTTGGGTTTGGCTTTTTTGTCTGTTTGTTTGTTTGGTTTTCCTTTTGTTTTCTTTTTTGTTTGTTTGTTATTTTGGAAGCGTTTTACTTTCTCCTTCGCCTCCCGCGGGCAGACAGAGGCAGGGGCTTGCAGAGCCTGAATGGTTTGGGGAGAGGTGCAGGAGCATGAGGAGGAGGGGGAAAGCGCTGCGCGAAGGCTCCTGCCCACAACCCTCCGCCGTCCCCTTCCCATCGTCGGAGGGGGGCAGAGCACCGACCTGCTACCTCGGGCGCTTAAGTAACTCCCAGCCCCGAATCTGTGCCCTTGACCGGCGTCTCGGCGGCTTGCAGGTATTTTCCAGTACACCAAGAAGCTGTTCCTGAGCAGGCCGGCGGGACGGGCGCAGGCGCTGGAGTTCGTCCGGAAAAATGCGGCCAACGCGCTCTCCATGGCGAACCTGGTGGTGGGGCTCTCCTCCATCCTCTGCAGCCTCAACAGGTGGGGGCCGGGCAGGCCGAGGGGCCGGGCGGGGAAAGCGGCGCGGGGCTGACGCCTCTCCCCCTACAGGCAGTACCACTGCTCCTGCTGGCTGCTCCTGGTGGGCTTCCTGCTCGATTTGGCCGACGGAGCCGTCGCCCGGCAGCTCAACGCCTGCTCAGCGCTGGGTGAGCCCCAGGGCTGGGAATGGGCCGGGGGTGCCGGCTGCCGGCCGCCCCCTCACCAGCTCACTCCCCGCAGGAGCCAAGCTGGATGACTTTGCTGACTTCACGTCCTTCGGGCTGGCCACAGCGCTGCTGCTGCAGCCACGCGGCGTGCTGGACGGGCTGCTGGCCATCACCTACGTGCTGGCCGTCTTCGCTCGCCTCTGCTTCTTCTCCAGCGGTAAGGCTTGGGGCTCACAGGGCTGGGCACCCCGTGGGCTCCCGGCTGAGCGCACGGCACCCCGCAGGGATCCCCTTCACCTACCGGGGCTTGCCGTGTCCCTACGCTTCCTCGCTGCTGGCCAGCACCTTCCTGCTGACGGGCGGCCACGTCACGCTGCTGCGCGTCACCGCCATTGCCATGGTCCTCTTCATGGTTGACCGCGGCTTCTACCCCCACGACAAGGTGCTGGAATCGCAGTGCTGGAAGAAAGCGATCTATGCCGGAGGTAAGGAGCGGAGGTAAAACACATCCCGCTCTCACACAGGGTGCTCAGCCATCCCACGGAGCAGCGACCCAGGGAGGCGCTGGAGCACCACTCTGCCCTCACTGCTGACGGTTCCCCCCTGCAGGCATTGTGGCCGTTCTGTTCTCGCCCGCAACGGTCGCTCCCGTCTACTACCTCGCCTGGTCGGCGTCGTACATCTTACTCCCCTTCGCCATCTGGAGCTGCAAAGCCTAACGGCCGAGCAGCAGCAGCCCCGGGGAGGACGGCTCCGCCTTAACCTCCACCGCACGCATAGTAAAGCTCTCCTCTGCCTCACTCTCGGGTGCCAGCGCCAGGCTGTCTCACCCCCGCCTTCGTTAGCTCTTCCCGGGAAGGAGAGCCGTGACAGCAGACTCCAAACCTAGCAGGCGCAATGCTGCGGCCCCACAGGGCTTCCCACCATGGCAGTCTGCTTCGAAAACAGCTGAGCTCCCGCAAAGGGGAACTTGGCACCAGCAGAGCTCGGGCCGGGCTCCAACCTGCCCTGCGCACCCGCACCCCCAGCCAGAAGAACAACAGCCCTGCACCAGCCCCCTTCCCAGGGAACCACCCCCCAGGTGCCTCCTGCCAGTCCCACCAGCTGGGACAGAGATGAAGGTGCGACCGATGCATTCCCACTGTACATAGTAATTTATTGCGAGGGCACAGTTGCGGCGGCTTTACGTTCCCCAAATCCTCAACATGAGGAGGAAGCGGCCCCCGCAGCAGGCAGTCTGTAGTAGGATAGGGGTGAGGGTGCCCCCTTTCCTTGCAAAGCCCAGCCTGAGGCACGGGGAGCACTCCGGTATTTATTTCTGACATGTCGCCATAGGGAAATAATATCTGAAGCGTGTTCTTTTTTTTCCTTTCTGCGCCCGGTCGATGAGGTGTGGGAGGGAGGAAGGAATGTGGAAAGGAAAAATGGAACCTGAAACCCTGGGGCCGAACTCTCTGGAAATAAAAAAGCTGGAGAACAACTGCGCCGCCCGCTCTGGGAGCGTGGGGTGGGGGAAGGAAGCGAAGGTCAGACCTCGCCGAGCAGCAGAGGAAGCGGAGCGGCTCCGTCACTCCGCACCTCCAGGGGATCCTGCAGCTCCAGCAGCTGCAGACAGACAGAACGACCCCGTCGCGGGGCGAGCGGCCCTGAGACCCGCAGTGCTGCCAACGGGCGGAGGGGCTGCGCAGGGCGGCTGGCGGCCATCGGCTGCAGCTGCTCTGGCACGCGGCCCTGCGATCCCGGGGGGCTCGGCCGGCCTGCTGCGTGCGAGCGGGAGGCGGAGTAAGGAGGAACGACCGCTGCTTTTATTTAGAAAAAAAGATAAAAAGAAAGCAGAAAATAACAACAAAGAGGCGTCTGTCAGCGTAAACAGCGAGATAGGGAAGGGCCGGCAGGCGGCGGGGCTGTGCTGCTCCCTGCCGCTCCGTGCCGCTTCGTGCCGCCTGCCGCTGCGACGGCGCCGGGCCCGGCCCGACCCTCACTCCCCGCCGGCCTGCATCTGCTTGCAGAAGGCGTCGAACTGCCGCTGCTCCAGCTCCGTCATCACGCGGTTCAGCGCGTAGATCTGCGGGGAGGGGCGGGGAGGCACCGCGGTGAGGCGCCGCTCGAGGCCCCGGCTCGGCCCGCCCCGGCTCGGCCCGCCCGGCTCACCTCCGCGCGCTGCCTCTGCTTCAGCTCCTGCTGGGCCGACCTCTGCTTGGCCTTCTCCAGGCGCGCCGCCGGCTCCCGGCCCTTCGGCCTCTCCTTCCGCCCCCCGCTCGGCTCCATGGCCGGGCCGGCCGGGCCGCGCCCCGCTACCGGCGGGACGGCGCCCGCTGCAAGATGGCGGCGGCCGGGCCCCTCCACCGTGCATGCGCGACCAGTGAGGCCGGGAGGCTAGAGCGTGCGCGGTGCCGTAGCGCCCCCTGGCGGACGGGAGGAGAGCGGCGGAGCAGCCACCAGCGGCTCAGCCTCCAGCGGCGCTGCCCGCTGTGTCAGCCCTCCGAGTAGCGCAGCCCCGCACATCGCACCCCACACACGATCGCAGCCCACACATCATCGCACCATCTCCGCTGTTTATATTGCACAGCCCTACGCCCCACGCTTGACACCACGCCCCCAAGCCCCTACGTAACAGCCCTACCGCACACCCCCTGCAGGGCACAACTTCTGTCAGCACCGCTGCAGCTCCCCTGCACCAGCCCCGCACAACACGTGGCACAGGACGGCACGGCGTCCCTCACCCCGTGCAGGGGCTGCACCACAGCCCCTCGGCTCCAAATGCACCTTTTATTGCAGTGGCTGGAGCAGGGCTGGACCCACGGGGCCACGTGGAAGCACAGGACGGGGACACCAGCCGCGCCATGCCCGGTACCCAAAGTCAGCTGCGCCCTGCGGGCATCAGCGCGGCCCCGTCCCGCCGGCAGCCCGCGGGGTCCCGCTAGATGCGGACGGTGTTGATGCGCAGCGGTTGGACGTTCTTCCCGTTGGCGTGGCTCTGTCCGGGGCTGAAGTAGGAGCAGAGCTTCCCTGGAAACTTCTCCCGGAAGGTGTAGAGCCAGGACATGTCGTCAGCGTTGTAGAAGATGAGCAGCCCCTTGTCGTAGTCCAGGAAGACGCCCACCTTCTCCAGCTTGCTCTTGACGTTGAGCCGCGTCCAGGGCTCGGTGCAGGCGCTGTACTGGTTCCCGTCGTGCATGACGATGCAGTAGAAGCCGCGGCTGGGCTGGATCTGGATGCTGCCCTTGCGGGTGACGGCCTCGTGCGCCAACCCGATCATCCACTGTGTCTTCTCAGACACCACCACCTCCCAGTAGTGGACGCCACCACCGAATGCCTGCGTGCCCAGCACCGACACCTCCACGTCGAAGCGGCGCGGCGAGTCCTGCAGTGGCTGCGGGTGCAGGTTGCCGTAGGCCACGATGGTGCAATCATCAGAGAGGATGAGGCGCTGGTGGGCCGTGCCGGGGTCCAGCGTCAGCGCCGCGGGCACTGCGGAACGGCAGGCGTCAGCATCCCCGCCTGGTGCCCCCCCCCGTGGAGCACGGTGACCCCCTCCCACCTCCCCGCCGGCCTCACACTCACCTGGGTGGATGTCCTGAAAGAGCGACTTCCAGATGGTGTACTGCAGCGGCCCCATGTACTTGGAGGTGGGGAAGTCCTCGTAGGTCAGGTTGGTCTCGTGGATCTTCCCCTTCAGCCTGCGGGATGGGCAGCAATGTGCACGGAGCTCCGTGGGCACCCCCTGCCCCGCGGCACCCACCCACCTCTCAGACAGGGACGCGACGCCGGCCAGGAAGGCGTGCTTGTCAGCCTCGGCCAGGCGCTCCTGCAGGATCTGGCTGCCCTCCTGCACCTTGCGCAGCTGCTGGCTGTAGCGCTGGATCTTCTGCTCGATGTCGGTCAGCGTCCGCGCCGTGTCGGCCTCCAGCTCCTCCAGCATCGCCTTCTGCCGCTCCCGCAGCAGCCGGTGCAGCCGCTCGAAGGCCTCCCCGATGGTGGCCCGCAGGCTTTTGGCCGATGACTGAGGAGGCGGGGGGCACGGCCGGGCCGCAGCGGGTCCGTCAGCATCCTGGCAGAGTGCATGGGGAGGGGCAGGGGAAGGGATTCGGGGCACGTCCCCGCAGCCTCGCTCCTACCTTGGTGTCGGCCAGCTGCCTCTTGAGGAGGTGCAGGGCCTCGGTGTGGCCTCGCTCGCTCTCCTGCAGGCCCTGCAGCTGCTCCTTCAGCTCCCGCTGCAACACAGAGCGCCCTGAACCTGTGCTCAGCCCTGGCCTCACCGCACTGCCTGCTTCCCCACCCCACAGCAGCAATGTTCCAAGGGGCGTGGGGAAAATGCAAAGCTTTGTGCCCGCCCCACGCTCAAGCAGTGATCCCAGCCACCAGCAGCGCGATGCTGGGGTGCTGGGAGAGCTGTGAGGCAGCTCCACAGCCCCATAGATATCCACCACGGGGCTAAGCTGGCACTGCAGTGACCAGAGACCATGAGGGCCAGCACATGGCACAAAGCTGCCCCAATACAGCAGGTTTTGGTGCTGCTGTGGGAGGTGGGGTCCTGTGTGGGACAGGAGGGAGTCTGGTTTGGGGCTGCTTGAGGATCCCCAGGGAGAAGCTCAGCAGAGCCACATGTAGGGACAGACGGACGGATGGGTGGGTGGCCACACAGTGTGGATGGACAGATGGACAGAGGATCGCACTCCACTTGTGGGGAAGTGACAAGGGAAGCAGCACCCCAGAGCCATGCGCAAACAGGCAGAGGGAGCTCTGGCTGTCCTGAACGTTGACAGATGGACAATGTGCTGCACGGTGCACACGGATGGACAGACAGAGCATCCCACAGACAACACAACTCTGGGAACAAGGGGGGATGGATGTTCAGAGACAAACAGACAGACAGACAGACACCTACCTGCAGCTCCTCAAAGGCATCATCCACGTTGGTGACCTGGTGCTGCTCGTGCATGGCCGGCTCGTCGCAGAAGAAGCAGACAACAGTGCGGTCGGTGAGGCAAAAGAGCTTCACCTTCTCGTGGTCCTTGCAGGGGAAGGGGCTGCGCTGAGCCCCCAGGATGGCATCCAGGGGGAAGGCGCTGTAGCGCTCCACGATGTTGGCCAGCTTCAGGCTGGGGGCCAGCGTGGGCTCGGTGAAGGTGCGGCGGCACTCGGGGCAGTCGCGGGCACCCTGTGGCTCCTGGCGCACCCAATGCTCTGTGATGCAGCGGCGGCAGAAGTAGTGCTCGCAGCCGAAGCTCACCGGGTCCTGGTAGATGCTGAGGCAGATGGAGCACAGCAGCTCATCCTTCAGGCTGCAGGCCATGGCTGGGGCTGCAGGGGGATGCTGAGCTGCAAAAGGGGGGGTTGATGGGGTCAGAGTGCTGCAAATGGAGGCAGGATGTGGAAGGGGGGCCACAGTGGGGCTGTAATGGGGGGAGCGGGGGTGAGGCTGCAATTGGGGGTTAGATTGGTAAGGGGGTGGGGGTCAGGGTGATATGAAAGGGCTATGGATAGGGACGTAATAGGGGGAGTGGGGATGAGGGGATATGGGGGGTGGGGGTCAGTGTGATGGGGGGCTAAAGTAGATGTGGGTGATGCTAGGGGTCAGAGGGATATGGGGGGGCTGTGGTGGGTACTGGAGATGCGGGGGGTCAAGCTGATAAGAGAGGGTGAGGGTCAGGGTGATATGGGGGGGCTGAAGCTGCTGAGGGTGATGCTGGGGGTCAGAGGGATGTGAGGGTGGGAAGCGGGGGGATATGAGGGGATGGAGGATGGTAATGGGGATCAGGGGCATATGGGAGGGTTGAGGTTGGTACTGGGGGATATGGCGGGGCACGGAGCTGCAATGGTGGGGTGAGGAGCAGGGGGCACGGGGGGCGGAGGTTGGCACGGCGGACGCCGGGGCTCGAGCTGCAGTGGGGCCCCGAGCTGCTGCTACCCGCGGAGCTGCAGCGGGCACCCAGCGCTGAGGCCGCACTCGGAGGACACGGGTTCGAATCCTGCCCCCGGTTCCGCGCCCCGCCGCCCTCAGGACCCGGGTTCGAGGCCTCACCCCACCGCCGCCGCCGCCGCCGCTGCCCGCTGCCCGCTGCCGTGCCCGGGTAAGCGGACCCGCCGCCGCCTCACGCACCGCTCCCCGCCGCGCCGGGCGGGGGGTGGGCGAGGAGAAGGGGGCGGGGCCGCGCAGCACTTCCTGCCTTTCTTTCTCCCCCCTCCCCGCAGCCACAGTGGTACCGCCCCGCCCCATTGTCCCCCGCGCGGCGCGGCCCTGCGGCGCGTACCACCGCCCGGCGGGGGGGGTTCTTAAAGGGGCCGCGTCCCATCCCTCTCTTCGGCCGTCCCGACCTTTCCCTCTCCGTCTTATTATCACTGACGAGGGACGGGGGCACGGGGGGGGCACAGACACAGCGCTGGACGTGCAGGGCCGCCGGCATCCTAACAGCGCAGGTGTCACCCCCTAATTCTGCACAGACCCCAAATTCAGTGTTAAGCCCCAATTCAGCACTGTCCTCAAATTCAGCATTGCCCCCAAGTTCACTATTGCTCCCAAGTTCAGCGCTGTCTCTAAACCGAAGCAGTGTTTCTAAACTCTACATCATCTCCAAATTCAGCAACGTCCCCAAACTGAAGCATTGTCTCTGAGTTTGGCATCATCCCCAAGCAAACCATTGTCACTAATTTCAGCCTTGCCCCCAAACCAAACTGTTGTTTGTTCAGCACTGATCTTAAACCAAAACATGATCCCCAAGTTTAGCATCATCCCTAAACTCAGCATCATCCCCAAATTCACCATCACTGTCCCTAAGCCAATGCTCTGTCCCCAAATTCCGTTCTGACCCAAACTCTGCATCATCCCTATCCTGAATAATTGCCCCCAGATTCAGCACCGTCCCCGAAATGCAGCGTTATCCCTGCATTCAGTAACATCCCCAAACTCCACATCATTCCAAGATCCTGTATTGTCCCCATCCAAATCACTGCCCCCAAATTCTTCATCTCCACCAACATTCAGCATCGTCCCTAAACCAGAGAGTCCCCCAGCAATGACAGAGATCCCCACAGGGGCACAATGAGGGGGTTCCCCCTCCTGTGCCCCTCGCCCTGTGGGGCTCTGGGTGCGGAAGGAAGGACGGACGGGGACATTTGGGGGCAGCTCTCAGCCGCCCCACAGCTGGCTGCAGGCCAATGTTAACAGGGCAGTTCTGAGCCCCCCACACCCCCCACGCAGGGAATGACCGCCTGCTTTGTTCCTGCCTGGGCGGGAGGACGGCCCCGAAGGCTGGAAAAGGAGGGGGAAAAAAAAACCCCGACCACAGGGGTTTGTTATTTCTGCCCGTGTTTCTGCAGGAGGAATGCAGGGCTGCTCGCCCTG